CTGCTTAGGGGGAGCAGGAAGAGGGACAGCACCCTCTCCCCCTGGGGTGACCTGGCAACAGTGAACTACTGCAGGTCTGGACGCATTTCTGCCAAAAGCCGCTGGGTTTCGAGATTTGTTTCTGCGTCTCTGGGAACATGGCCGTTAAGCAGCTTGATCAGGAGCCAGAGAGGCTGTTCGTGGGCGGTCACTTGGGGTCTCATTGGGGTGGGGAGGAAAGGACTGGCTCCACCCCCATCTCGTGAAGCCCCACTTGTCTTGTCACTGCAGGGCCAAACCTGATTGTCCAGTGGCCTCTGGAGGATTAAGGTGGCCACTGGGCCGTTGGGGGAACAGGCCAAGGCACGAAACCTACTCCCATCTGGGTTGGCTCAGAACTAATCCAGTTTATGTGTGCATGTTATTTCCCTCCACTATACCACTTAGCCATATTATCCTATTGACGTCTTTTCTCCAATGGCTTGAATAGTTTTATTATTAAATACAGTCTAATATTGCAAGTTTAGGATATTAGTAGTTTTAATACTTTCATCATTGTAATCACTGAAATAAAATACTGCATATAGTGATAATAAATCTGTTTCTGTGCAAGGGAATATGATCTGAGTTATCCCATTTTTATTTTTGTGTCATTGGCAATCCAATTAGTAGTGGAGTAGCAGGTGTTTTTATTTATCATTAAAATGATCCCTGGTTGGCAAACAAACTGCATTTGTAATGATAGCACTAAATAGCTAGTAGGAGACCATATTGTTTTTATCTGGACCGCTGTAATTCTTAAAACTGGGCATGCCATTTGCCAGGCTCCTGGAAATTTGGGACTCATATATTACAAGAAATACTGATATAAATAGCAGCTTTGAGCTTCTAAGCAAATGCTTTAATTCTTGGCACTTTAACATGTGGGGTGGAAGGAGTTTGGGCTTATGGATGATTCTGAGAACAACTTTTGCTGGTAATATATGCCTATCACTGTCTTTCTATCTTCAATCTTCTGCTAAGAAGAGCCAGTTGGTGCAAATATGACCTACTAGAATTACAGTGGTCCAGATAAAAACCATGTCTCCTAGAATTGTGACCATCTTTTAGTTTGGGGCCAGAGAGATAACTTCACAGGGATAGCTAATGCTTTGCATGCTGGAGGCCTGGATTCGACCCCTGCACCACATATGATCTGTCCCCACACCAACACCACCAGGAGTGACCCTGAGCACCAAACTGGAAGTAGCCCCTGTGCACCACAGGTTGTGACCCACAAACTAACAAATACAAAAAAAATGATTAGATAAGGCTATGGGCAAAGAATCCAGAGAACAGACAGATTCGTTCTTGGTCTCTTAATAACTTAGGTACTTAGAAAAGTGAATTCTTGTTTGTGGGTGACAAGGTCAAACATCTTTGCTTTAACTTTTCCACCACTGACTTATCATTAGTTTACAACATTGTGGAGTTTGGGTGATTTATAAATGCCATATCACCACCAAAAAGACTCATGATCTCTTACCCCTCCTGCCCTTTACCTCTGCTAGCCACTGAGAGCTTCACCAAGTATAGGAATTTGTTTTGTTGTTTTTCTTCAGGTAATTTGTTTCAGTTCTTTATATTATACTTATGAGTGAAACCATTTGTTAGTAGTCTGTTACTTCCTTGTTTCACTTAGCATAATCATATCAAGTTCAATCTATTCTAAAAGGCACGGTTTAATCATTTTTAACGACAGAGCAGTATTTCATTATGTAAACATATGAGAGGTTTTTGGGGGAGGGGGTCTAGAGAGGAAGTGTGAGCATTGCCACATCCAGCAGTGCTCAGTGGCTACTTTTGCCTCTACTGGAGTTGGTTCTGGGGGTGCTAGGGGTGACCACATAGTGCCAAGGATTGAATCCGGATTTGCTGCATGCAAAGCAAACCCCTTAACCATTGTACCGTGGCTCTAGTCCAGCACAGCTTCTTTATCCTGTCATCTGTTTGTGGGCGTTTAGGTTGATTCACATTTTCTCTACTGCGAATAATGCTGCTATGAACATGAGCATGCAAGTATCCTTTTGGAATAGTGTTTCTGATCCTTTAGATTAGCACCTAGGAGTACTACTGCTGAATCATATGAAATGCCCATTTTATTTTATTTTTTTGTAACTTTTGAGCCTCACCAAGCAGCAGAGAGCCTACTCCTAGCTTTTTGTTCACGAGTTGATTCTGGTGATCTTGGGGGACCATGTGGTGCCAAATTTGGAACTTGAGCTTCCTACATGCAAAACATGCACTGAATTATCTCTCTTCTGTTGCCCATCTTACTTTTTTTGCTTTTTTTGGGTTACACCTGACAATGCTCAGGAGTTCCTCCTGGCTCTGCACTCAGGAGTTACTCCTGGCGGTGCTCAGAGGACCATATGGGATGCTGAGGATTGAACCCGGGTCGGACACATGGAAAGCAAATGCCCTACCTGCTGTATTATTGCTCCAGCACCAATTCTACCTTTTAAGTAAACTCTTCATACCTTTTCCCAGAGCAGCTTAACCAATTTGTATTTCCACTGAGTGTCACAGAGTTTCTTCTCTGCACACTCCCCAACGCTTGTTTTCAGTCTTTGTGGTGTAGGCAATTCTCATGGATGTGAGGTGTTATCTTGTGATTTTGATTTGTATTTACTAGTTTAAGTTATGCTAAATATTTGTTATAAGTCTATGAGCCATCTTTATGTCTTATTTGGAGAAGTGTTTATTTGTGTCTTTTCCTCATTTTTTGTTGCGTTTTATTTTGTTGTAGATTTGTTTGAGTTCCCTATATATTTTGAATATTCGCTTGTTGTATGAGATGTATGATGTGCAAATATCTTCTCCCAATTGCTCAGTGGCGTTTTTGTTTTGGCGGTAGTTTATTTTACTGTGTAAAACCATTTATTTATTTATTGAATCACCATGAGAACAGTCACAAAGCCTTTCAGTTCAAGTCTCGGTCAGTCATACCATGATCAAACACCCATCCCTTCACCCGTGCACATTTTCCACCACCAAGAACTCCAGTATACCCCCCCTCACCTCTGTGGCGGCAGATTTCCACTTTATTCTCTCTCTCTCTCTCTCTCTCTCTCTCTCTCTCTCTCTCTCTTGATCACATTCAATATTACTACAAAAGACCCAACATTATTATTTGGAATTTTCCCCAAAACCTGCCAAAAAGACTCATACCTGCCAAAAAGACATCATTAGATAATTGTTTTCTATTGCTAATTATAAAAAGCATATGATGTCGTGTGGCCACAACAGAGGCCACGTGAATTTGGATTTCTGATATTTTAGTAATAAAACCAGAGGGATCACTGCCAAAAGCCCCTGGGTTACAAGATTGGTTTGTGTGCCTCTGGGATCATGGTCGTTCAGAAGCCAGAGGAGGCATTTGAGGGTGACAACCCGGAGCATTGTCATGGCAGGAAGCAGGGCCGATTCCACCCCCCATCCCACGAGGCCCCATGTGCCTCGTCAATGCAGTCTCATACCTGGCTGTTCATTAGGCTCTAAAAGATGCAGGCCATCATGCCACTGCAGCAAGGGGGGACAGGCGGAGGGACAGACACCCCTACCCTCCTATAGCACCATAGTTAAATGCACAGTCCAGATGCATTTTGGTTGGGTATTATATTTTGCTCAGTATGGGGCCCGGAGAATTATCCGGGAGTTGTGGAGCCTGCCAGCCAGTTTTCTTTGCTGCTGTGTGCTGTAAGATGGCGCTGGGGGCGGGTTGTGGGCATGACTTCCGGGATCAGAGGTTTCCTGGGAACTGGAGCAGTCCCCATGCGATTCGGAAAATAGTCCTCGTACCCACATACTGGAGCCATGCTATGGTCACCTGGATTCCATCTGGAGAAGGCGGGCAGACAGCACCTATGCCATCTGGGACTTCCCGGTGATATCAGCTTAGTATGGTGCCCGGAGAATTCTCCAGGAGTTGTGGAGCCTGCCAGCCAATTTTCTTTGCTGCTGTGTGCTGTAAAATGGCCTGTGTAAAATCTTTCAATATAATGTAGTTTCATTTGTTTATTCTTGTTTTGTTTTCCTAGTCTCTACATATATCTTTTATGTGAAGTACTGAAGATTCCTGCTTTTTTAACCTTAATTTTCTTACCAGGCTACACAGTTTCTCTTCCTATTTCTATCTCCTGATTGGTTAGGTGAGGTTCATGATTGAGGAGTTGAGTTCTAGACCTAATCTACCTTTCAGCCTTCTTGGTCGTTAATCTAAGTAGATTAACTCTCCTCATCCCCCATAAAATAACCCTCAACCATAAAGTAAGCTTTCCTTTCAAATAAGTTTGTAAGTGTTTTTTTCTCCCTCTATTAGCCTAAAGCTCTTACATGTTAGAAATTGGGGCTAGAGAGATATTAGTGCACTTGCCTTGCATATTGCACACCCGAATTCCATTTCCAGGCATTGTTCACTGAGCCCCAACAGGTGTGATTCTTGAAAGCAGAGCCAGGAGAAAGCACTGAGCACTGCCGGATGTGGCCCCAAACAACAAAAAAATGAAAACATAAAATGTGGCTACAGGAGCTAGAAAGCTAACATAGCATGTAAGGAGCTTATCCTGCATGTAGCCAGTCTAGAATTGATCCCCAGCACTGCATATGGTCCCTAGAGCACTGACAGGAGTGATGCTTGAGTACAGAGACAGGATAAAGCCCCAGGGATAGCTGGCTGTGACACAGAAACAAAACAAAAACAATAAAATACAGAAAGTAGACCATATGGATTTTACTCCCTAGTACCTAGTGGTGTGAAGCAGGGCAAGTGACTTGATGCTGTGTGGCTTATTGTCCTCTGATTACAGAGTTACCTTAGGTGATGGCAAAGATTAAAAAAATAAAATCTTTATTATCTGTGAAAGATTTTGGAGAAGCTTAGAGGAGTATCTGGATGTGGCTTCTCTAAGTTGATCCTCATCCCCTGGTTATCTCCTTGATATCCCTAGATATCCTCCTGAGGAACTTGCTGCTTGTTGCAGGAACCATTGACCTTCAGGGATGTGTTCATGGGGTTTACCTTGGAGGAATGGCAGCAATTGAATTTGGCTCAGAGAACATCTACAGGGATGTCATGCTAGAGACAACTCGAGAGAACTATGGTACGGGAATAGAGGGTTGAAGCGATAGCACAGCGGGTAGGGTATTTGCCTTGTACATGGCCGAACCGGGTTCGATTTCTCTGTCCCTCTCTGAGAGCCTGGCAAGCTACTGAGAGTAACTCGCCCCCATGGCAGAGCCTGGCAAGATACCCATGTCGTATTTGATATGCCAAAACCAGTAACTATAATGAGTCTCATTCCCCTGACCCTGAAAGAGCCTCCAATCATTGGGAAAAACGAGTAAGGATAGACTGTTAAATTCTCAGGACTGGGACGAATAGAGACGTTACTGGCACCCACTTGAGTAAATTGACGAACAACGGGATGACAGTGATACAGTGATGACATCCTTCATCTTGTCCCTTGCTATATGCTTTGTTAGACTATACCCTAGAGTTCCCTGTTGTTCTAGTTTTACCTAGCCTCTAGCCAAAGACACATGCATGTCGGTGAGACTCCTGTGCTGTCTGGGTGTTTGAGCCTTACCTGATTCTGCAGTTTGTCTGGGTGTAGATGAGTGTAGGAGGAAGAGGGCAGAAGGATAAGGAGGGGGAGAGAAAAAGACTAGCTGGGGACTTCCTTTTTGGGTTTGGGGGCTATATCCAGTGGTTCTCAAGGCATACTCCTGGCTTTGTGCTCAGGGATCACTTCTGGAAGGCTTGGGGGACCATATATGGTGTGGGAATGGAACCTGGTTTGCCACATAAAAGGCAAGCACCTAGTCATGGTACTATTCTTGGCTGCTTCTGCAATGCATATGTTTCTAGTCACTTTAACTACATCAAAGCAGAGGTATCTCTGCTGTGGTGTAGTAGAAGACCTGTATGTTCTGCTTCCCAACTCTTTCAGAAGATCTCGGGATGTCGGTAAATGGTAGAGCAACTGCCTTACATGTGTGAGGCCCTTGGTTTGATCCCTAGCACTGTTAACAAAAACAAAACAAAGCCAACAGGCCAAAAATCTACTTCAGAGGGGATGCAGAAAAGGAGGGAACAATTTGGTAACTGCGGGTTTGGATATTGGTCAAGTAACAGGCTCAGTAGAAGTCACAGATAGATCTATAAGTGTCATCAAAAACGTTTAAATAAAAAATAGCCTCCATAAAATGCACATGAGAAAATGCTCCACATCATTAATCATCAGGGAGATGAAGATCAAGACCACAATGAGATATCACTTAACACCACAGAGACTGGCCCATATCCACAAGAAGAAAAGCAACCTGTGCTGGCACGGATGTGGTGAGAAAGGGACACTCCTTCACTGTTGGTGGGAATGCCGACTGGTTCAGCCCTTTTGGAAAACAGTATAGACGATTCTCAAAAAATTAGAAATTTAGCTCCCATTTGATCCAGCAATACCACTCCTGGGAATATATCCCAGAGAGGCAAAAAAGTATAGTTGAAGTGACATCTGCAATTGTCTGTTTATTGTAGCACTCTTTACACTAGCCAGAATCTGGAAAAAACCTGAGTGCCAGAGAACAGATGACTGGTTAAAGAAACTTTGGTACATTTACACAATGGAGTACTATGTAGCTATTAGAAAAAACGAAGGCACGAAATATACGTAAAAGTGGTACTACATGGAAAGTATCATGTTAAGAGAAATGACTCAGAAAGAAAGGGATAGACATAGAAAGATTGCATTCATCTGGGAACATAAAGTAACAAAATAGGAGACTAACACCCAAGAATGGCCGAGATTAGTACCAGGAATTTTACTCTATGCTTGAAGGCCAACCACACATACTAGGGGAAAAGGGAGCTCAGATAAAGAAGGGAACACCAAATAAAGGTGTTGGGAGGATCCTCCCAGGATGGGAGAAGCATGCGGAAAGTAGACTATAGACTAAACATGATTGTCATCCATTGCCTCTTTTGCAAACCACAACACCCAATAAGAGAGAGAGAATAAAAGGGAATGCCCTGCCACAGAGGCAGGGTGGGATGGGGGGGATGGGGGGTGGGAGGGATACTGGGATCCGTGGTGGCAGGAAATGGGCACCAGTGGAGGGATGGGTATTTGATCATTGTATAATTGAAACCCAAGCACAAAAATGTGTAAGTCTGCAACTGTACCTCATGATGTCTCACTATTAAAAAATTTTTTTCATAAAAAAAATAGCCTCCAGGTCTGGAAAGATAGTTTGGAGTACTTACTTCATATGTACAAGGCCCTGAATTTGATTCTTAATATTTCCATGTATACACCTTTATTTTAGGTTACGCTATGAGTGATCACACATTAATGGATATTTGTAGGTTCTCTGGGCGCCTCTCTTTCGCTGCCCACGTTCGGTGTTCTCGAGCCACTTCCCCACCTGGCACAGCCATTGTCATGGGCGGATGTGAAGAAAGACCAAGGGCCGAGCTGACTTGTGATCAGTTGCCGTTCATTATATCTCTGGTCTCTCCCAAACTATTCACAACTCTCACAACTCTCTTCCTAACTCGTCCCCAACTCTCTCCAGCACTCTGCCCACAACTCTGTCACCCTTTCTCCCCGCAGCCACCACCTCAACCCCCTCTTCTCTAACCACACCTCACAAACCACTCCCTTCCCCAAGCTCAATCAACATGTTTATCAAGCCTTCCTGACCACCTGCAGCCCACGAAGGCAAAATAGCACTTAAGGGGTGTTTCTCCTCTCCTTAGACCAGTAACTTAATTAGCATCTTAATTCTACTTCGTAATATTTGCCACTCTGTATGGACAGAGTAATAGACACAATTAGGCTTGTAGGGCGACTCTCCTGGGGACATCTTGCCACAGACTCAGACTACAGTGTTCACGCCGGATTAATCATTTCTAACCCCAGCAGGGTCTGAATCTAGTTTTTACTTTTTGGATCATGACAGAATTTGTCCACTATCATGCTCTTAATTTATAGTTAAGTATTATGGCACTTTGGCCATTTTGATGCTAGGGTAGCTCACAGCTTGCCCTTGGTCCATCCAGTCCCTTGTCGGGACCTTGCTTTTGGGGATCTAAGAAGTAAGGGCAACTGAAGCTTAAGTTGAGAGAGTAGATGTCCAGTAGGTAATATTATCTGGAGTCAAATAACTCCCAAGTTACAGGCTTGTCTTTTTAGCTGTCTTCTTGTGTCCATACAAAAAGTAATTGCTCTGAAGTAACTAACCATGCAAAGGACATTAAGGAGAAGAGAAAAACAATATTTACAAGTCAGCAGAGTCTGATCAGGAGGCAAAGGTAATTGACAGATTGTGGGAGCAATCAACAAACCCAAGCTCTAGGGAAGAAGCGCAAACCAATGTTATCCTACACTCCCAGGGGTAGCTTTGGTACCCCTGGAGCACTACAAGGCTGAGAATCACAGGGTATGGTCCTTACGATAGACTATAGACCGAACATGATAGCCACTCAATACCTCTTTTGCAAACCACAGCACCCAAAAGGAGAGAGAGAACGAAAGCGAATGCCCTGCCACAGGGGCGGGCTGGGATGGGGGTTGGGGGTGGGAGGGATGCTGGGAGCATTGGAGGCTTGGAATGGGCACCGGTGGAGGGATGGGTACTCAATCATTGTATAACTGAAAACCAAGCACAAAAATTTGTAAGTCTACAACTGTACCTCATGGTGTTTCACTAATAAAAATTTTTAAAAAGCTGCCTTCCTTTTGGGAGACCTGAATCACTTAAGTTAAGTGATTAAGTGAAGGCTCTGAATCCAGATCAGAAACTGGAGGAAAGTCCCAGCTGCTAAATTCAATCCCAATTCTATCATATAGAATTGATGGACCTCAGTATGGATTGAACAGGAGCTCTAGATGGATACCCAAAGCAAGGTGTAGAGGTGACCCGAGACAATAAAGAGGACATAGGTGAACTCATGAAATCCTTAATAAGTTCCACAACCCACAACCACCCTCTTGCCCAAACTCCAACTCCGTGTACCTGCTTCGTGTGTTTTGTTGTCAGACTATTTTGTCAGTCCCTACCCAGCTGCATCATTCTCAGTTGTCTCCATCAGTAGGGAGCAGAGCTTCTAACACCTTTTCCAGGCTCTTTGGCCTTTACTTGCTGGCTGCTCATCATCATTGCTGGAGTCTTTCTGCTTTCCTAGGCTTTAGCTGTGGAAATCTGGTCCTCAGCGTCTAGAGGAATATCTCATCTATATCTGCCTGACTATATCCTAAATCACAGCCTCTATACCTCTCACAAGTCATTGTGCCCTGAGGTGTCCAAATAATCTTAGTTATCCCTAATACCTCTGCTGCCTCCTGCTGCCTCTCCCTGTGAAAGCATTGTCCCTCCAGAAACATGAACCTTTTCTTTCTTTTTAGAAGAAAATTTGATTTTTTAATTTTTAAACTTATTTATCTTTTAACTGAATCATAGTGAGATACACAGTAACAAGGTTGTTTGGGTTTCAGTCACACAATGTTCTAACACCTGTCTCTTCACCAGTCCACAGTCCCACCACCAATGCCCCTAGTTTCCTTCCACCTTCCCCACCTCCTGCTTCTGTGGCTGGGACTTTTCTTTGCTTTATCTATGTCTCTCTTTTTTGGCATTATGGCTTGCAACACAGATATTTAAAGGTTCTCATGCATAACCCTTTACCTAGTTTCAGCACTCAGTTATTGTCCAGAGTTATTGTTCCCAACTATTATTGTCATAGTGATCCCTTCTCAATCCTAACTGTCTATACCCCCCACATACTTGTGGCAAGATTCTAACCATGCACCAGTTCTCCTGGCCCTTTTTTTTCTGTCCTTGGATACTAATCTCATGCAATGTTTTTTATATTCCACAAATGAGTGCAGTCATTCTATGTCTGACCTTCTCCTTCTAAATCATTTCACTCAGCATGAAACTCTTCATGTCTATCCTTTTATTAGTGATTTCATAACTTCACTTCCCCCAACCCCTTTCTGGCTGTGTAGTATTCCATTGTGTAGATGTACCATAGTTTCTTTACCCAGTTGTCTGTTCTTGGACACTCAGTTTTTTCCAGATTCTGGCTATAGTGTTTAGT